CTAAGAAATACTTCGCATTTAGCAGGCAAACCTCTTTCAGCGCCCAAAGACGACACAGATGACAATGAAGTGTATGGTGTCCTGCATCAGCACGTCACTATCGGTGATGACGAATAAAATTTCAGAGTACCAGAACGTTACCGCCTATTCGATATCGTGAACAAACATTAAGAAAACTAGGAAGAAACATTTTTGTAACTTATTTGAATAGTAATTATATTGGGTTTGGAATGAAGTCCTGTACAAAGGGTTGGACGCTGAGGCCACGTTTTCTAGACTTTTGACCTGTTGACCGGATGTTCTCGCTTGAAAGCCCGGAGTATGTATAACGTGCAAGATCATTTAAACGTCGCTGTCAACACCACATAAGGGCATTTCATGCTTATATGATACAAGCCTTCTGAAGAAAACATTGTGGTGCTACATAAAATAGTGCTAATTTGGTGCGTGCAGTGCGACTATCACACAAGTTATTGTTTCTTGTCAACATCTCCCATCTCCTCTTTAGCGCTGATAGAGCAGGAAAGGAGTTCGACCAGTGCGCGAGGATTATATGCTTCCTTCCAATGGTCTCTGCAATGGACGGTTTACCTGGTCGCAGGCACGACATATCTACGTCGTGAAATGTGAGCGAGTGTCCCCATAATAGGTGAGCGCCAGTACAACTCGCACTAGAGTAATACTGTCCGCAGTTTTTATAGAGGTGGCATTACGTATATGTCTCATAAATAGAATGCGTGTTTGGAAAAAAAAAGAAAGGGGGTCAATACTATTTTAATAAGAATTCGCCTTAATTACTGTTAAAGCGTTAGAGTAAGAATCACACCATGAGAAACAAAATGAAATCGAATGGCTATATAGTCATTATGGAAGGAAAAAGTTAAAAAAACTCGTGAAACCCAGAAAACATGCCCGTAAGAATCCACGTGGATAAGCACATTAACAATAGTGCTTAGTGGGGCAAAAGTGGGGAGTTTTCAAAATATTTGCAGCTGATACCAATGAACATATATTGCTATGTCATACCTTGACTAGCTTGATTTGTAATATTTTTGTCACAATCGGCGCTGTTTAACCAGCCATCGCGACGTGAAGTCACTGAAGATGCTTCAAATCTCAAATTCAGAACATGTAGTCAAGCGTACATGAGAAGGGCCATGAGACAGCTTCTTAATTTTGGTGGACCGTAGTGAAGTATAGTGGTGCTTGCCCAATCCTTGGTTGAGCCAGGGAGAGAGTGTGGAGGAGGTTCAAACGCCACACCCCCCACCATCACCTTCAAATATATTCAATTTTACATGTGTGTATATATACACCCACACATACAAACGCATGTAATTGGTGTTTCGCATCGTTATTTATCGCGTGCTTTGAATCCTTGTGTCGTTTCTTCTTTATTTTGCCTTCACCTTGCTTCGTCCTTCATCTCCAATTCCTAACGATCCGCAGTGACACCAGCGCCGTCAATACGAATTGAAGGCGCACGGCCACAAACGCACCTGCCATGCAGTAAAAGCGACCTGGAACCTTTTCGAAACAAACCACTTCGTGGCGCGCTCGCCGCTACGAACATTTACCGGAGAAATCTCGTTCGGCAGACTCGTAGCAATTTCGCGTTGCCGCGCCCAGAAGCGTGTCCGAGAAGCATTACACTCGTTGTCACGCGAGATCGGGAATGGCGAGAGTGCTTTGTTTAGAACCAATGGGTTCCTGCAACAGCGGTTCTAGTGAACCTAACCGTTAGGCCTAGCTGCTGGCCTTGACCAACTTTACGCGTACCGAGTCCTTTGAAAATATACAGTGGTGAAGGCTGTGGCACAGCGTGCATTGTGAACGTTGCATTCGTCGTGGTCACCTCAAACTCAGGAAAAGGGGAGTGTGAAACCAAATGTGTCGTAGGTTTTACATTGAAAGATGTCGTGACACCACGACAAGACCTGTTTTTGTGGCACAGTTGTCCTCCACCATCGCTGGCGTTGGCAACCACTCTAGCATCCAATGAAGAAAAAGAAGGAGGGGGGGGGGGGGGGGGGGTCGGCATGATTTAACCCGACACTGCGCGGCTGTCGAGTACTGTATACCACAGAGCTATGCCGGTGCTTGAAACTTCTTCGGGGAAAACACACATGCATCATGTTGGTCAAGGAATCACGTTAACAGATGTAATATAGCCTGGTACAAAAGCAAAATAGTATCATGTGTAACACTGCGCGAATTGCTTAACAAGGGGGTGGTTTAAAGCTCATCCCTCAATACAAAGGCCATAATTCTTCGTAGTCATCAGCCACAGCATCACCAATGTAGACTATTTTCTTACAGATGAGTAGTGGGTACAATGGTACAACTCGCAAGAGCATTTAGGCAGTAATCGCTACTCAGCCTCGTCATCTTCAAGTAGCACGCTTGAGTAATATCTAAGGAGTCAGATTGACGGACTGCCATCTATCACCTCATGTCAATCACCTCATGCGACATTTGCAGGCGTTCATCACGTCAGTCCATCACCTCATGCTACATTTGGAGGACAAGTAAGAATTAACAGTACACTACAACGCTCCCATTATATCACCTGAAGTCATTTTGAGATAGTGGCTGATGGTCAGCATCGTTTTGTCACAACTGCCTTTCCTTTGACCTGCGCGCCGCTGGACGGGAGGACAGCAACCATTGGTCATGAAGTTCGACAAACTTCACCCCCTTTTGCCATATATAAATATATATACCCAAGCTGCGTTCAAGGATGCACCTGAGTGGTGCAGCTATATATCGCCGTGCCTATCGGTTTTTCGACTACTACACATGGATGTCACACAATAGTAAACACGAAATTTCTTCTGCATAATGTGGAATGAACACGCTTCTGCGACCACACACAATTTCAACCTGCGGGTTGCACCGCACCGTGAGTAAACTAGCCCAGAGGAGACAACATCATTGTTAACGTTTAACGACATCTTGAGACCTTACTGCACAACGCACCCCGTTCATCACGCTCCCGATTCCAGTATAGGAGCGTAGGCTGCAGCTCTGCAGCGCCTACAGACCAACAATTTCACAAGTATTTACTCTCTACACGTCTACACATGCTATCCAGACCCTCGCCCGGTGTGCGGTGCCTTTATAGTGACTTATCACATCACAGCAAAGTGCAAAGATCTACCCTTTTTCCGCCCCATGCTCTGGAGTAATGGGAGATGGTGCTGCGGGAAACACCCCCTCCCCGCCCCCCTTTCTTCAGTGCCGGCGCTAACTGGTCCACCATACAACGGATGTCACACAAATTCAGAATATGAGTGCTGGACTGAGCACTCTTCTCTAATTTTTAATTAAATTTTGTTGACTCAGTCAGCGCCGGCTATTGTACAGCGGAAGTTAATGCTGCCGAATTAGAGAACAAAATTACGATAACTACCAACACAATCCCTTTAAGCGGGTTGACTATTTAGTAAAGAAATGATTGCGGTTCACCCGTTTTTATTACTGCGCATTCAAAAACTTGTACAGTATATAGTGACAACAATTAGCGAATAAAAGAAGACGCAGCAGAAGCCTGACATGGGGCTATAACAGAGAAAAACTAAAATTGTGCCTACGCATTTCACACTCATTGTATCAATAAGGCACCTATATACCATCCCACGAAATACAGAATAACATTCTGTTTTCTCCGCGTCATCACGCTTCGTACCACACATGTTGGAGGCGTGACGTATTAAGAAACGACCAATGACAAGCGCTTTATGATCGAGCGCTTCTCCCTATAGTATTCCGTAATCCGACGTATGGTACGGGCCCGTAAGATACATTATGTGATCTGGTTCCCGTGGCATGTCAACTTGCATTAAGCGTGCCGCGTTGCTTCTGCAACGGTCTGGCTGAGAAAGTAAATTCTTCGTGGTTATCAGGATGCTTCCCTCATATATATAAAATAGATACTCTTGTTGCATAGTTTCTGCATTTTTCATGTCTCTCAACTCTGACCCACACAAAGCTTTTTTTTTTTTGTTATGTGCAACCCATGATAAACAGTCCACAAATTATGTGCTTGTATATTTTTTAAATGATGTCCTCGTGCTATTTGGACATAAATGACCCTTGCACCGTTAAAGACAACGTTTCATCATCATCATCATGATATTACTTATTCACTCATGTACTATTACGAACATTTTTTAAAAGGCATGACATTGACTTGTTGCTTTCGGCATACGCTTATTTCAAACTAGGCCGCCGAGTACAACTTTTATGCTGCTGTTGCAAAGATATCAGACATTGCCTGAAATCCAAGTTATTGGAACTACGTGGATGCTCTCAATAAAACGATAAAAACTGCAGTGAATTCAGTTTTATGCATCATTATATTCGCCGTCTGTAAATATAAATGGCCAATTTAATGTTTTCAGACAAGAATGTCCAGTCATCGGATTGCAAGATTGTCTTAAGAGTTGTAGTTGAACGTGCAGTAAGCTCAACTTAAGCAAGAAACAACTGAAAGGGCTTCCGGAATTAGAAGGAAAAAAATAAATAGGGACCCATATTCACAAAGCAGTTTTGACTCTGGAGCGGCTTGCAAGAATTGGCAACGGCCACGTGTGATTAGCGCAGATGCCCGACCAATCAAAAGAGGATCTCGAGAGCAAAAAACTTTGTTATTTCAGACACCAATCGGGCAGTGTATTCAGTAACCTATCCTCCCGTTTTGAGGCTGGTCATATTCGTGATTTGAAGGCCGTTCTAACGCCAGCCGTTAAGGCAATCTCGTTATTTTTATCTGAATACACGTCTTTGTGAAAACTTTTACGCGCACCTGGCAATGTCATAGGTTGTTTAGTGAGCCTGTCGGTTAAACATAGTCAGCAGTTAACGCGCAGACCAAATATTCGCTCAATTAATTGATCAAGCAGAGGGCCAGACAATCAATTAATTGATCGACGGTCAACGAAAGTGTATCAATAATTTGTCTGTATGAACCTCGAGTTCTTTTTTCGTCTGCTACTCACAGTAGGTCTCATTGACGAGCTGGTTGACGACCTCCTTCTTGAGTTTGCTGTTCTTCTTGCCCATGGCTCAGCGCTCTCCTGGTCACCCTCGGCTTGCAGCTGGATGGTCTCGCACGGCACTGCAGGCTGTCGTTGAGAGCACGTGTGCTGCTGCTGCTGCTGCACGGGCGGTGGCGCGGGCCTCCGGTGACCGTGCGTCCGCTGCCGGCGGACCACTCGCTTCGTCTGGCTCCGCGCGTGGTTCGGACACCGGTAAAAGGGGCGCGCACACCGAATCGAGCGCACCCAGCGTCGCCGCGCAGGTTTCCCTACGGAGGGAAGAGCACCGCTGGTGGCTGGCGCCATCTGGCTAAGTTCGCTGGCATTGGCCTCACTGGTCGTACACTTAAAGCCGGTCACACCACGTGCTCAAGCGAGGACCTTATCCTGCAAACACCGAACGGTGTTTTTTTTTATCTTCCTTATGCTTTGAAGACAGAAATGTTATTTTGCTCAACAGGAAATGCGGAACACGAGATGCGAAATTATATAATGTAGCTTACGTAAGCGCCAACACGCCTTTCAAGCAGTCACGACAGATTAAGGTCAAATGACGTGTGCCACCGCTCACCATCTTTTTTTTTTATCTTTTTCTATGGGGCAGGAGCTCGCTTCTTGCATTTTCCCGCCCTCATTACTTCCTTTATTCCTTGCCCTCAGAATAACTTCTTTTACTTTGTCACTTCAGACAAAACTTTCTTTGTACCTAAGTTGATGCATTGACATTTTTTTGTGTAGATCATTCATTCTAATCTCCTGGCCTCATCCTGGGTATAATATATATATATATATATATATATATATATATATATATATATATATATATATATATAACCATCTTGAGCCTGACTACACCCACTTCTGGGCAAAGGCCTCTCCTGCGTTTATCCAATGAAGCCGGACCTGTGCTTCCTTCGGTAACATCATTCTCGGAAGCTTCTTAATGAATCTCGTTTGCCCACCCAACTTTCTTCGTCTCTCTGCCGTACTTGCGTACCCTTGGAATTCTCCCCCTCTCTCTTACGGCTATCTTGGCTTCTCACTGCAAGCCCTGACCAAGTCCTTTTCTTCTGATTTCGACTGATGTGTCGATACCTCACCTTGGGTCCCTGACCCTCTCGGTCCTCTTTTTGTACTTTAATCTTACATTTAATTTCATTTCCACGACTCCCTAGGACATATTCTGTTTATTTTAATATTTTAACATATAAAACAAAATAATCACATATGAGCCTATGGCGGTTCCCATGATAGGGACAAGGAACTACCAACAATCGCTCGGGGGAAGTCCTCCACAGTCTTGGAAACGCATACGAGTAAAAAATAACATAGAAAGAAAAAGAGAAATAGAGAGGATGAAGACAGGAGAGAGACCAAAGGAAAACGTGAGGAATAAGTAGTTGGGCCAGAGAAAAATAACTTGTCAAAATGGTTGGCTGGGCGCGCGGGTGATTCATAATGGTTTGAAATACGAGCGCTTGTCCGCGTCTAGGCGTTTCACTGTCCGTGCATCGCCCTCGTATTTCAAACCAGAGAAAAAGACTGAAAGAACTGGAAGCAAGAAACACATTGAAACAGAAAAATAAATGGAACATAGACAAAGAAACATAGAAAGAATGAGTAAGAGAAAGAACTTGGGACAACGTCAGACAAGGAAAGAAATAGAAATAAACAGAGACAAGAAGACATGCTCAAGAAACAGGAATAAAATGAAAAAATTAACTAAAGAGAACACTTGTAAAAATACCAATAACGCAAGTGTCAGGACTGCCGATGTACGCATCAGCTCCGCTGTCTCTTCATCATTGCGCCTAGTGTGCAAGCCAATACCATTCATTCATTCATTCATTCATTCATTCGTTCATTCATTCATTGTTTATTTATTTGTTTGTTTTACTACCTGTAGGAATGAAACCCTTTCGGGCAATAGAGCAAGTAAAAAGAGGGGAACTACTGTATACCAAAAATTTTGAGCTCCAATCACTTCTGTGCCGCAGGTGGTTGGCCAATGAAGCTATGATATCACAAGATTTTGTGTTCGGGCTGGGCGCTTTGAAAATGAGCTAGATCTTAAGGAGAAGTATTCAAAGTTGCCATGTCATAATTTTATCGCTATTTGCAGCCAAATAGAAAAGAAGAGGTGTTATGAGTAGAGCTTTCATTATTAAATCCTAACTAATTCCTCTTTGAATAAGGAAGACCACAGAAATAAGACCAGAAATATTTCTCTTTTGTGCGGTCTTTAATTCAGAAATGCGTTTCAAATATATAACAAGTTATTAGAATTAGAACGACGATATCATTATTGAGGACGCCGTAGGGGACTCGGGACTTCGGAAATCTTCACCAACTGGTGTTCTTTAACGTCCACTGACATCGCACAGTACACGGGCCTCTACGATTTCGCCTCCACCGAAATTCGACCACCATGGACGGGATCGAACCCGCGTCCTTCATTCTGGTCACCAAGCGAGCCCCCAAACCGCTACACCATCATGGTGGACTAAAGTTTACATGGTACGAGTCCAGCCTCAGATAACGATGAAGATAAGCAGCCCAGCTTCGTTTACTTGCTGATATCTGTTTTTTAACACTGAAGCTGTTTAGCAAATCGTTCCTTGCGAGACGATCGCAGAAAACTATCGTGATGTTATCGGGTTTGTGCCACTGCGCGCACTGTTAGAACACCAGCATTATCATAAATGGCTATGTACCACAAAATCTGGATAAATACCGTCACTCATCGCTAGTCTACTAAAAATAGAGGGCAACAGTTTGCACTACAATAAAGCGATAGCGGCGGGCTGAAGGCCCCGAGTGCATGCAACGAGAGAATACTCTATGGAGAACGGGATAGGCAATGGTAGCTGTGCGCAGACCCCGTAGCAACGGAATGCCTGCGCCAACGATGACCTACCCGTAGATCTATATGAGATCTGCGAATGCTTGGTTTTCAGCGCGAGTTCCTGTTTTCGAAGTGGGGGCAACCATGCCGTGTCTGTGGCTATGTGTGACATAACTAATTTTTTTCTTCTCTGAGAATCAACGCACAAATAACCTATAGCATATATAGCCTATAAGCGGCCTAGAAGCAACCAATAAATTTCCTTGTGGAAGTGCAGTGATCACTAATACTTTGTTAAGGTTATTAATTGATGCATGGACAACAGAAGACCTTCCATTCTCCTGGAAAATTGCATGAGTGGTCCCAGCTATAAGACCTGGCAGAGCAGCTTTATCCATAAAATCTTTCCATCCTGTCATCATGATTAGTTGTCTATGTAAAGTTATAAGAAAAATGACCGACGCTAGAGTTATGTGGTGGACGGAATGTACGAATGTGCTTCCAAAAAATATTGCAGGCTCCGCAGGCGCCGGTGCACTATGGATGTCATTCTGGACCTCCTCACTTATGTCTATTATGAGAGGAACTGTGGAATAATCGTCGTTGCAGTATTTCTAGACATAAAGCGAGCATTTGATACAACCAGGTACGTTCATGTACTACACGGTTTAATTCAGCTGGGAATAGCTGGTCGAATACTAAAGTAAATTGCAGAATTCTCAAGAGACAGGAAAATATTCATTTACACAGCTGACGGCAAAAGCAAAGAGCATGAAGTTATTCAAGGAGTTCCGCAGGGTAGTGTATTTAGATCATTTTTATTTAATTGCATTATGGCTGAGTCATCTCATATCTTACCTGGTCATTTGAAATGTTCACTATAGGCAGACGATCATATATCTAACATGAGTGTCCAAGCAGTTCAGAATAAGCTTCAAAATGCCCTAACAACCTAACAATAATTATTTACTTTTTTGAGAGCACAGGCATGATTCTTTCTCATGAGAAAACAGCTGTGCTTAACTTCACAAGAAAATGACTTAAGAAATTCAAGTTCTAAATAAACTCTTGACGCCCACAACTTGTGCGACAGCACAAATTATTAGGGGTTAATTTAGACAGACGTCTGTCTTGGGCTCCACAGATAAAATCATTAGAGGTAAAAGTCAACTCCCTAATATTATTTTACGCCAACTGACTGGAGTGAGATGTGGTAGTTCATGTTCTTCTTTATTGATTGTACATTCATCAATCATTCGACAAAGAATACCTTACTCTGCCTGGTTCTACGTGGGATATCCCGTATTTTGGAGGGAAGGATGAAAAGATTGTTGAACAGAAGCCTTCGTATATGTCTTGGAGTACCGCCAGCGTCCGCCAATGCACTAGTATTGCGGAGTCTCGTCAACCGACTTTCCGTGCTCTAAGATTTGCGGAAACTTGTCGACAATATTTTCGGTTGGCAACTCAACCCACTAATTAGCCCCTACGCCGAGCTATTCAGAAGAGGTCTGATACACGGATACAAAGTATTACAGAAGAATGCAAAAGTTTACTGCCTACGCACGAGTACTGGCCTCCATGTGCATCCCATCCGCCATGGCGACTTTCTATTACCGATATTACAACTTCGATCCCAGAATTAACTAGTATAAATGATGCGCCTATTTTTTATTTATTTATTTATTTATTTATTTATTTATTTATTTATTCATTTATTTATTTATTTATTTATTTATTTATTTATTTATGCCATACCGACAGCACCACATGGCATTACAGTGGGGGGAATAAACAAAGAAATGCAAGGCATACAGAGGGTAGCAATCTATAGGCTCATCATGGAAACATACATAACGTATTTACAAGAAGATGAATTACGTACACTATAGTGCACGATTGTGAATCTATGTGCAAACAAAGAATAAAAAAACATGATTAAAGGTACACAAGCATACATATAAACAATTTAACAATGAAGCATACTATAGATATAAAAACACAACTTTATGAACAATAACGCACAATACAGGAAATTACAAGTACAAGCATGCAGCAGGCATCACCAGAAGTAGCATGAGGAAACAACAACTCTAACAGAGAAAGAGTTATTTTAGCAGGGCGTAAAATAGGTCAGTAGACGATGTTTTTGCGACAGACTTGTCTAGTTGATTCCAGTCTCGTATTGTTCTGGAAAAAAGTATTTACTAAAGGAGTGTTTTTTTGCAGGGAAACTCTAAAACCTTGTTCTCGTGGTCAACCCTACGGGAATAGTAGTTAGGCGCTTTTATG